CGCAGAAGGAAGCCAGAAGCGTCACATGTGCAGAGACACCCCTCTCAGGTGTGCTGCGATGTGGTCGGCATCAACTGTAGCTGCTTCGTAGTGGAGGGCCAGCCTCCTAGTGTGTTGTCTCATAGGTTGACACCTCAGTTACGCTTCGGGAAGGCTGAAGATGCCTTGGAGAGCGATCCATGTTGTCCATCTCTTATGAGGCCACCATTTCGCGTGTCAGAGCTCCTCGGAGCGGAAGCTGTGGCTTCGAGCACTCAGCAATCTCAAGGCACTCTTTGCCGGGGAGAGCTGCATGTCAGAAGCAAAAGATGCGTACGTGAATGGCTATGAATACTGTAGCGGTTCACACCGTCAGCGGCAATCCCACCACTTTTCAGCAAGAGAGTGGTGCCAGAAAGCCAACAGGTCAAGCTGCAGAACAAAGCGCCGGAGCCTTCTGCGGAGGAGCCAGGCTCCAAGATCACACGAGAACTTGCAGTCTCTTCGATCAAGGGGCATGGTACACACTACAGGCATGTCCTGCACGGCTTCTGAGGCTCTTGCACTTCCGTTCCGCCATCCGCGAGAATATTGTGACATTGGAGGCCACTCAGGAGCTAAGGAGCCGGGTCCGAAGCCGGCAGTGGTGGAACCTGACGGAGCCCTGTGCTTCTCGCCGGCAGGATCGCAAAGACCCCACTTCTGAAATCCCTGGAGAAGCCTGGACCTTGGAGTGTGCCATGGGCTAGATGCAGGGGCTGGCTGGCTCAGACAGAAGGATACAGAAAACGAGACATTTATTTTGTTGTTCCTCGCATTCGTGTTTATTGAAGTGGGGTTAAGATCCGGCGCCCTAGGAACCCAGCGACCAACCCCGAATTCCGCCAGCCACAAAGGCTTATGTTGCCCTTGGTCCGGGCCGGATCTAGACCACTCAACCAGAATCTACTTCCGGAAGGCTAATCTTTTGCTGCGAAAGACCGTGAGGTGGCACACAGATTTCCAACAGCTTCTCACTTCAAGTTCAGAGAACCGGGACTCCCTGGACTCCTCGGCACTTCAGTGAGATCTTCGCCGTGCTGAGGCCATCACGGTCCTTGCATACCAGCCTGCACCCAAGTTGGCAATGCAATCTCCCGCAGGTTTTTCAGTGTTGTCCAAGCAGTGCGGAAGGGTCAGCCTTGTAATGTCCGGGGCATTGTGCTGAGGGGACAAGCTCCAAGCAGGCTGCAACGGTGATGAAGACATACCGGAGGTAGCAGCCGACATGCTCCATGTTGCAATGAGTCTCTTCTGGTTCTCATTGCTACAATTCTGGAACTGATGCTCACAAGTTTGGACTCAAAGCTTCAGTGGCCTGAGCAGGCCACCGGAGATGACGAGTTGTCCCAAACGAAGGCTGGCTATGGCAACGGCCCAAACAGCAACGGTCTGAAGCTTATTGCTCGGAGTCGTTGTTGAGAAGACTAGCTGCGCACAGTTTTCGTGGCTTTCGTCGCTTCAGAAGGCGACGTTCCGTCAGGCGATGGCGATCGCTGCCCTTGTTCCCAGTGGAAGATTTTCGGCCTGGTCTGACTCCATTTATGATGGGCCCTCTCTTTCTACCATCTTCTGACACCCTAAGTCAAGAGTAAAGTTCAGATCAGAAAGAGACCTCAGAAAAGAGAAGACCCGTGAGGCCTTGCAGACCCGCGTTTTCTGTGCCGAGGTCGAAGCCATCCTGTGAGTCTGTAACATGAGATCAGCTCTTAGCTGGTGCTTTTTTGAAAAAGCCTGAGAAAGTTTGGGCTGAGAGAAGCACCTCAGTTTCCAGTTCTAATGCAGACACTGCACGGGGCACGAGATCCGCATGTCAAGCAGATCCGAGTGTCAGATTGCGTTATTTGCGATGTTGGCTTGTCTGCTACGCCCTGCAGAGTCGAGTCTCCAAAGTCTCCGTCTCCGCGGTCTGCAGTCGCAGACGAGATAACGCCTTTGGACTTGCAACCTCTCGTCCATCTGCAAGGCATTCAAACGAAGCGTGGCTTTGGTGCACGGGGATGACAGACAAACCATCCGACCAGTTGTGGCTAGACCCAGACATAGCTGGAACACTTGAGAGGGATAGTGCGGTGCGCGTACAGGCCATGCAAACCCTGCAAATTAGCCCCAACAAACGCAGATCTGACCCAGATTCAGCCATTCGTTCGACGCAATCCACCATGTCCATGTCTGTAAACACAGGTTATGAACTTGCCAAACCCTACAAGGCTTAGGCCAAGGACCCCAAGACTCATCCACCCCCGCATGCCCAATTCCCAAACCCGGCTGCGCCAGGGCCTGATGAAACAGTAAGCGCGAAAATGCAGCAGAATGGTGCATGGAGAGATGCTGTGACAAACCCCTGGTTGGAGGCGCAGCTAGATGCCAGCAACTGAATCCCAAGACAGTGCCTGACTGCCGGGTGCGGTGTGCTCGCAATGTGTATGATCTTGTCTCTGATATGAAACCGTGCACTTTTCTCACCCACGAGTGGTGGAGAATCGGAACAGAAAAACACACATTGAAGCCGTGTGGGTGGGAAGTGAGGTGGTTGTCCTTTCGGAAGTGACGCCAAGCCTCTTTGAGCCTAGGACCCGTCAGACCCGAAGTTCTGTCCGGCATGGATGCTCAGCAACAAATGAGGCCTGGGTCGACGTAAGCCCCCGGCCCAACCTTACCATACATCTGGCGAGCTGATACGTACTTTATGGGATTCTAGGAACTAGGGGGCGTCTGGTGGGCTGAGAAGCCCCCGGCCCAACCTTTTATGGGATTCTGGGAATTAGGGGCGTCTAATAGGCTGAGAAGTTCCCGGCCCAACTTTTATGGGATTCTAGGAACTAGGGGTGTCTGGTGGGCTGAGAAGCCCCCGGCCCAATCTGGGAACCAGGGGTGTCTGGTGAGCTGAGAACTTCTTTATGGGATTCTGGGATCTAGGGGCGTCTGGTGGGCTGAGAAGCCCCCGGCCCAATCTGGGAACTGGGGTGTCTGGTGAGCTGAGAAGTTTTTTCCAGAAGTTCTTTATGGGATTCTGGGATCTACGGGCGTCTGGTGGGCTGAGAAGCCCCCGGCCCAATCTGGGCTGTGAAGTTCTTTGTGGGATTCTGGGATCTAGGGGCGTCTGGTGGGCTGAGAAGCCCCCGGCCCAATCTGGGAACTGGGGTGTCTGGTGAGTTGAGAAGTTTTTTACAGAAGTTCTTTATGGGATTCTGGGATCTAGGGGCGTCTGGTGGGCTGAGAAGCCCCCGGCCCAATCTGGGAACTAGGGGTGTCTGGTGAGTTGAGAAGTTCTTTATGGGATTCTGGGATCTAGGGGCATCTGGTGGGCTGAGAAGCCCCCAGGCCCAACCTGCATGCAAAAAGCGCCCGACACAGGTGGGCTCAACAACTCCGGGCCCAATGTAACGCAGCGCAAGCACCGTGCAAGAATGTGATAGGCCAGGTCACGAGGCTCAGGTTCGGTCTGCAGTCGACAAGTTGCTGCCGTGCAGGCAAGGCTTCAGGGCGGCTCAGCTTCACCGAAGAGCCGTAGCCGGGCTTGGAGCGGGCGGGGTCCACAGGCTACATGCATTCTTCGGAACCATAGGTTTCTGTAGGCTCCAGCCATGTCCGATGGTGAAGCCATGGAGCGAGAAGCTATACAAGCTAAGAGCAAGCAGCTTGGACAAGCTATTGTAAGAATCTCAGGGCTCATGATTTAGTTTGGAGGTTGTCTGATTGGGGCTTGTTCAAAGTTCTTGGCCGGGATGAGTTTTGGGTTTCAATTTGCATAAGCCAAAATCAATTCGGGGATTCGCACCGTGGCACGGCGAACAGCTTCGGATCCAAAAAATCTGACGGTCAGTTTAGTAGTGCTGGTTCCGCAGCGCCATAGTCCAAGATTCTGCGGGCTCCTGTCATTCTTAAGTTGGAAGTTGTTAAGTGCGACCGCCTTGTCTTGCAACCCTCACAAAGGCCAAGAATTTGCAGTCCAACTGTCAGCCGGGGGGGCAAAAATTCTCAGACTAAACGTCACGCCGCCCATGGGTGAAACTGTCGTAACAACCAAAAAAGCTCAGCCCCACATGATCTTGTCCGTAATAAACTTGGGGTTCGGGGAGGCTGGTGGGCAGGAAACCCTCTATCTCGGGGCATCTGATGGGCTGACAGGCCACCGTCCCAACCCTAACTGTGGCAATCGGGGCGTCTAGTGAGCCATGCTGGAATGAAAAGCTCCCCAGGAGCGTCTGGTGGGCTGAAAAAAGCAACAGGCATCAAGTTAAGGATGTCCGAAAACATGTTCTGGTTTTTGGCTGGGGTGGGCTTTGGTGTACCTTCATGCGAAGAGATGCATGGTGTTGGGGCATATATATTGCTCAACCCCGGAAGCACTGGCAGACTCTGGGACTCTAGCATGCCCTTCGTAAGCGACACATACACTTCGAGATGTTGCCAGCGGCGCAGACTGTTGCACGGGCAGAGCGAGTACCGTTGATGCATGGTAGTCGAACCAGAAATGCAGCCAAGTGTTGAACGAAGAGCACGTGCTAGTGGATGCATCCCGCTCGGGGTGTGAAAGCTTCATGTAAGATGTCCACTTGCCGATTCTTGCAGAGCGCGAACGGCACGGTAGGCATTGGCGCCCTGCTGTGTTTTCCATACGGTGGCTGATGAAGACAGCAATACTTTTGTGGACAGGGCAAATCACTTCTCAAAGGCATGCAGATGTGCTCCAGGCTGCATGCTTTGGTGTCAAGCCCTAGCAGGGTACAAGACATGGCTTTGGCAGGGGACATGGTGCTCCATGTTGTTCTGGCGCAGCAGCAACAACTCCGCATGACAATGTCGATGCAGAGGGTGTGGTCACTGGTTCAGTATTACGTAGCTCGTTCACAGGACGCCGAAGACTGGTTTCACTTCAGGATTCATAAGTGCACTCGAAGTTACATGCTACACCACATGAACGGCAGCTCAAAGAGAGCGTGTCGTAGGCATAGCATCCACTGTGCTAACTTGCAGCCATGCACTGGGATCATGTGCCTTGGGTGCATTGCATTTCGACGCTACAAGATGGTAGCTCTGCCGCCACTGTCAGCAAAATGGAGCAGTGCCATGTCATGGCAAAGCAATTCCTGCCTCACTTGTGTTGAAGGCCACATTCGCGCAAGAGCTGCATTCCTCCAAAGACCAGAGCTGAGATTAATTCGCTTAGTCAGCCACAGAAGCCATCAGAAGCCTATATCTTTTTGGTAGAATGCTGCGTGCGTCGCGTTTCTACATCTCCCTATGATGTGATTTCCTATCTTTGGTTGTTCCTTGCAGCGGCCTGAGGTCAGCAAAGACTATAAGAGAGTGAAGGCACTCCTGTCGACCGCGGTGACCTGAGCCCATGTGGTGGCTTCCAGGCATGCCCCAGGAACACTCGTGAATCTTGCTTCTCCCTGCAACTGAAAGATACGATACGTTCTGAAGTTGCCAGTGCAACCTCCACAATCGGAGCGGCTGCCGCGTGTCCAACTGCGACTGGTTGACCAAAACATTTGGTTGTACATGCGCGCGGAGGCCTTGGGGTTTAGGCTCGGCTGTAGCTGTGCCCCTTAAACTCCGGCCCATGTGCCGAAAGCACGGCAGCTACTCTACTAGTGGACTCTGACCAACACCTGAGAGTCGACTGGGAATTCACATCCTGCGGCTGAGTCAACCTAATCTTCGAAGTCTTTCCGGCCTGCCCTCGGCTCTTGCTGCGTTTCTTTCGTGTGTGGTTTGTAGAACCGTCCTCCATTCTTGTCCCGATGATGGCAATACAAAGCATGGCCACACAATGTGCAGAAATGAGGTGGCTGAAGACAACTATTGGCGGCGGGAGCATTTTGGTCGAATACCCCGGACGATTCCTGCGAGTGCGAGACCTGGCGCAGCTGCAAACGGACCGCTTACTAGACCTGGACCTGCCATGACTTGCACTGCAAGCTGAAGCTGAATTTCGTATGTTGAGTGAACAGTAGTGCCCATGAGGCTACCATGAAGCTGGCGAAAAGCCAGAATCCAAGCAAGAGTTCATCCATCCAGCCATGATGTGCAGCGGCATGCATTCTCGTAGGACCTGCTGACTTGCAGTAGCTGTAGCTTGATAAACAGAGTGGTTAGTGCAGGCAGGAATCGATCGATTTTTCAGGTTCAGGCCGAGATCGGTGCCGCTTCCTGTGATCTCATTTTCCAGGCGGGTTGTTGATAATCACGTGGCTGAAAATTTCGATTGCTCATGTCTTGATGATCATGGCTATGATATGCTATGAGTGAAAACTGTAGCAGGACTGTAGCATCAGATCTACCGCGGCACGGCAGAGAACGAACACAACCACAGGCATCAATCATCACCCGCATCATGCGTGGAACCGGCACTCGGTTCCTCAAACTCGCCACCCCCCGGGGGCCGCAGTTTCATGTCAGGTTCCCATTGTCATTAGCAGAAGACGCTTGAGGATGGACACCGCAGATGCACTTCTAGCGCTGGGAAGGCAACGTGGTCGGAAGGCGAAGGTCTCGGAGGTCTCGGTGCCTTCCGGTGAGACTTAGGACTTAGGGCAGATGTGCCGATGCTGCAAGTGACTAAGTTCTACCTCTGCCCCTGGCAGAATAGACGGCTTGACGGCTTCTCGTGAGCCAATTTTACTCGTTGCAGAACAGAGAGCTACTGTTGAAGCAAACACCTTACACCTAACGCAGATTCCATGCCCTGTGCGGTTTTCCAATCGCGTGGCCATTCGTTCGTCGTTCTTCGTCGATGTGGTACGGGCGCGAAATCCAGCAACTAAACGAATCATCCTCAAGTCGAGAAGGTATATCTTACCAGACTCTTCGCAAACTTGAGCTCGGTGTAGCTTTACCCGTCCCGTAGCTCTGAGGTTTGTGCACTAAACTTCGCAAACGGCAAGGACGCAGGCGCGACTTGACACGCACACAATCCTAGCCGTGTCGATTGCATCAACCGTCTGGAAACCTCGCATCTGTATTTGTTCGACATCGCATCTAAAGACTTCCGCGTCTTGTGAGCAGCTTCTGCAGGAAAATCTTGGATGAGAGCATGGGCAGACATGCCACAAGTGCGCAGACGCTCGTGTCGCAGTTGCCTGCAGGTGGAGGCTACAAGAATGGGGCCTCCGCACAGGAAGAGGATCTTTGCAGGCCCTTGCCTCGGAGAATATCAAAGCTGTTTGACTATCTTTCTGCGACCGTCTGAATTTATGGTTCTTGATTTCGTTCATAATCGATACTCGTACATGGATTCACACAGCGGCTTGCTGGTTTATGGTGTGTGACTTGATTGATCGCTTGCTCGCTGGTTTGCGCCTCTATTAAGCATCTGCGTGCTTCAGACTGGAGTCGGCTGGTACAATCCAGACCCATCTTGCCAAGCTGTATACAATGGCAGATGATGACCAAGGATGCCAACAGATCTGGCTATCTGGGAGCAATAACAAATAGTTGGACACTGCGCCTCCGCATGTTGAATGCAGTGCAGGCGTTTATCAGCGCTTGCACGTTGCAGTCGTGTGCGGGAATGGATGCCAGCAGTGTCGGAGTTTGTAAGTGACAGTCACCTGTTCCATCTAGGTTCGTTCGCGCTTGATGTGACATGTTAGTTCAAGGTCTTGGCAGTTGCATGCTCTTGACACCTGCTTGGTCAGCATGTAACCACTCATCCGCTGCGCGACCTCCATCGATGTAGCTGCCCAGCTACTTTTCGCCTGTACGCGTTGTCATTCGTGTCATTCGAGGTGCCGACAGACATACAGTGACATCCACTTTCATTATCTTTCATTGTCATACATTGTCAGTCATTGTGTTGATGTGCCGCTTGTCCGCTTCGACATGTTGTTGCGTCGTTGCTTCTGCGCAGTAGTTGCTTGAGATGCTGCCTGCCTGCTATTCCAGACCCATTTTGTTTCCTCCCTTCCATCTTTTTCCACAGGAGTTCGCTGTCTTGTTGTTTACACTTTGCAGCCTTAGCTGCTTGCGGCGAATCGCCAGGCGAATACCGCTGCTGTACTCTTCCCTGCTCGGTGCGAAGAAAGAGGGCTACAGCCTGAGATGACCTGAATTTCCAGCTACAAATCAAGTCTGAACATCCTGCGGAGACAGAGTGCTCACAATGCTAATGCTGTTCACCGTACTTCGAAAGCCAGCAGGATTACGAGTGCCAGCAACACTCGTAATGCTCGTACTGTACCGTAGCCAGTAGTGCCCAAACTTCCATTTGCTTGTCGTGCCGTCAGTCCGAGCAAGTAGTATAACTGTACGAGCGCCTTTGTCTACCTTGTGAGTGTGTGTGTGTGTGTGTGCGTGTGTCATGCGACTATTGTTTGTGTCATACCACTATTGCGGGCAGCGCCAATACATGAACAAGGACAGGCAATGATGGTGAAAGCAAGCAGCTGAGATGCATCGTCTCAGAGTACTGTTGGAGCCACGGACATACCTGGAGCTCCCCGATTCCTGTCGGTATCGAACACATTCTGCAAAATGTGCTGCGGGGGGGGGGGGGGGGGGCCTTGAGAGGGCTTTGTACTTCGTGCGAACTTGACGTTTCAATCAGAGGAAGGATTCCAGTTTCGCTCAGTGTTTGATCATGTTGAGCTGTGCGTACTCTGGCTCATGGGATGGTTGCATCACAATACTGTCACAATCATGGAAACGTTTGAGGAGTGGTTGCCGGCACTGCCGCCTTATGTCATCATTAAATTCCGCACAGGTAGAGCCAGGTCGAGGTTCATCGCAGACTCGCAGACCTCCATGCCTCCGCCTGCCGAGGGCTCTACCCCTTCGGTCCTCCGACATGCCCGTCTACGGGCCAGCCAGAGTGAAGCCGCCAAGATTCTGGAAGACCTGTGAGGGACGGCAAAGAAGGATGATATGTTGGAGCCAGGAAGTTTCGAGACGTGCTCTACACAACGAACCTCGTTGTCGGCAGAGCAAGTCAGGAGGAAGGGCTTGCTTCTCAGCCTCCACCAAGCCTGACGGCTTGAGGCAGCCGCGATTAGCAGTTTGCACCCTTCTTGACTTCTTGAGGTATCGGATCTTGCACCGGGATGAGCAAGCCACTGTGCCAGAATCTTACACGATATGGGCGTGGAGGCTTGCAATCCCTGAAAACATGTAGATGCAGGACAGGGCATCGCGGCAGCTGCTGCAGCATTCAACTTCTGAGGTCGCTGGTTGCTGCGGCAGCTCCCAACCTCAAATTCGGCAGTGATGCTGCTCGGAACGCAGATACGACAATGCCCCGCACCCACCTCGCATCCCAAAAGGCACCTCAAGTATGCCACGCTACCTACGCACGTTTCATTTGCAGGAAGGTTCCCGTAGCTGCAGCGGCAGCAGTCTCGAAACATGTCGAAATACGAACTGTGCGCGGATGATCGCATGGCTGCATCACCATCCGGGATCTGTGCGAGGATCCAAGAGCTCATTTGCTCCCGCAGTCATAGGGCCATTCTGAGCTCTGACAGCAGCCATTACCGCTCACAGCTGCATTGCAACCGACCATACTCTTACTCTTTGCCACCGCTGGCGTCCGAAGCTGCATTTGGACATGCCTTTGCACTTTACATTTGGCATTCGCTCTCTCGAGCATGGTCCTTTCGACTTCCTCCGACTCCCATCTCCTCATCCCAATGTTGAAGAGCCCGCCACGGCATGTTTGAGCCCTGCCAATTCCTGCCGTCCTGGCTCTTCTCAGTCGCTGCCGCTAGTGCCGAAAAAGTGTACCCACAGCGTGGTCTCTGTTTTTATATGTTTTCAGGCAGCAGACCAATGTGGCTTAGCGTGACGTGCCTTCGAAGTTCACAGACACGTAAATGTCTGTGTGACATGCGAGACATGACCGACGTGCCTTTACTGGGTACTTTTGGATCTGCCAAGGTCAACGACGCACAACTGATCTATCAGACGATGGTGAATATCTTCAGAGCACCTCAAGTGTGGGAGCCAGGCCAGATCAGGGAATGCTGCTGAGCTGGTCCTCTCCGAAAGTCATGACGCCAATTGGAAGGCATCAACACACTGATTCTGGGCGCGTGGGGCTGTGGAGCCTTTGGCCAAGCGCCCAGAAACCCTGCTTGCTCGGCTTGCGCACCGACAAGGTAGTGCCCATATGTGGACATCTTCTGAAGTAACCTAGATGCGGAACTGCGGCCCTCGGCCCTCGTCGAGCAATGTGCATACGCAGATTCTGCCAGCCTACCCCCCTGCCGACTGCTGGCGAAACTGGTAGGTTAGCAGATACACATAGGGAGGATACACATAGGCATGCTTGCTCAATACAAGTACTAGCACTACTAGGATGCTAGGATGAATGTTCTTCACACACGCACACGAACCGCCACCCCAGAAACAGTTGCAGGCTCCGGATGAAAAGGTGCCGCATCAATTTGTTTCCACTCTCAGGCTGAGCTTCCTCCCAAGGGTTGAAAGATAGACCTTTCCACTTTTTTGGAACTGCCTGTTCCAAACTCAAACCTGTGCAAGGGATTAGAGAGCTTCAGCCGTGGCGCTCTCAGAGCCTCCTGTGCTCGTGCTGAGGTGGAGACCCCTCCAGGATCGCTGACCTCTTTTTGCAAGCGCTCCTTAGCTTGAGAATGAGACCTGAGATCACCACCCCGGTGTGCTCTCTCATCTCGGCCCAGGCTGCTAAAAGATGGCTGTGGACAGCGCTGCTGGCCTGTCAAGAGGGTTTCGCCAGTGTCCGGAGAGTATTCGTTTCCGTTGCCGACACCATCATCTGATTCTGGCAGGGGCTACGAGGAGGTGCACTTCGCCATTCCGCAGTTCACTCCCGAAGATCCAAATTACGCGGCGCACCAAGAGGTGTGTTCAAGCGCACGTTGCGAGGGTCGGCACAGCTCTGTATTCCGTCACTATTTGTGAATGCTACAAACAGGTCTTCCGAATTCCGCATTGTCGAAACTGGCCTGTTCAATCACCGCACTTTGCTCATGATAGACAATATAATTGCTCGTGAAAGCTCAAGATTAGCGTCGACTTCGGCTGCGGAAGACTCCACAGCATGTAAACTTGCGCTTCTTCGTCGCTGGCCTCTTTAGGCTGAAGCGTTTGTGTTTAGTAGAGCTGGGCCACCATCATCCCGCTCAAGCAGACCTGGTTATGGCGAGTGCAGGGCCACGCTTCGCAGCGCTGAGCAACATGCGCAGCCCATGCAAGCCGGAGGCAGCTGGGTTCACCTCGCAGGAAAATGGTATCCACAGTGTCCACAACGAGCCGAAACGAGTGGCATCTCGCCACTCTTTCTTGTCTACGACGTGTCCCGATGAGGAGTCTTTGGCCGCTGGAATAAGCTTTCCGCCAAACCGCTTGCTCCATGACCAACACGTTCTTCACATGGACCAGCTACTCGAGGACCCCCAGAGGTTCTGCATCAATGACTCAGCTACTCTTCAGCTAGCTTCAATGATAAATCGGGGTAACTGCTCGAAGCTGGTCTTGCTTCTGCCGGTGGCTAGAACATGGAAACGGGTGTTGTTGTTTTTGCTAGCGGTGCTTTTGTGCTGTTCGGCTCGGGAGCTGAAGCCCCGGCCAACTCGCAACTGAGATAACGGCCCTAGACCCTTAACCTGTCCGGGCGGAAACAGCAAAAACAAAACACACCCCCGCACCCACAGAACAAAAACGCCACCGTCGAAAAACAGCGCGTTGGTGTTTGCTGTTGGCGCTTTTCTGCCGTCGCTGCGGGGGGGTGCAAAAAGCCATACCTCCCACCCCCGCAGCAACAGCAAACGACACACACACACATAGAGGCGCACACCAGTAGCTACGGCAAGACACAGAAAGCACTCTTACCCTAGAGCATAGCAGGTAGACGGTTGCGAACTCGTCGAGAACGCTGGAGCTTTGTGGGATCCAGGTAGCAGCGAACTTTCTTGTGACCCACGGGCGACGAAGGAACAGAAGAAGCAGGTTAGTTCTTCTTGAGCTTGACGTCTGCTGTATACACCTGGGTCACATGCCCGTCGCTTCAAGCCATGCATCTTGCAAACATCCGGAGGAACCGCCGTTTTGATTCACTGTGTCCAAGATATGGCTAGTCTGCTTTTGCCTCGACTCTGATGTTCAATTGGGAACTACAGCAATGATGTAGGTCTTGTAGGTTTGCCGGAATAGCTCTGTATAGAACGTAGCACCGAACGTGTGTTGATCTTGGTGAGGACATCTCGCATGCTCCACACAGGCTCAACACCGAGGTGGCCCATCGTCGGCGGGATGCGTTTGATCAGGACAGACGGACCGATGCCATCAAGACCTTCATGAAGAAGTTGTGGTGAATCCTCTGACGGTCTGCAGGCCTAATCGAGGGCCAGAGTGCATAAATCAACTCTTGTACAGCGCGATCTTGAAACGGTCCACCGAACTCCTTTTTGCTGTAGTGGTCGTGGGGATCATGAGCAGTCCAGCAGAGGTGTCGCCTTGCTGCCTGTTGCCTGGAGGGCAGCAGGTATGCGACGTGAAAATCCTCCGAGACTGCGCCGAGACTCTTGGCCTTCGGGTCGGGCTAAGACTCGCTTCCGTTGTATTGAAATCTGGTGGACCATGTTCCGTCCTTGAACGCAAGGAGGCATCCGACTTTGAGTTGCCAGTGACCAGCCATTGAGGATGAAGCTGCGTCTTGTAGAGTCTTTATCTACATCTGGCACTTTTAGACCTTTTGACCGGCTTTTCCTGGACGGGAGGGCTGGAGGGATATGCAAGGACAAGCAAACGGTGCTCAGAAGATCAGCCCTTCCTGCCAGCCGACAGTTCCGTGGGCTCACGCCCCTACCGTGACTTTGCGAGGTTTAAGCTCAGTTACATCCTTTGAATCTGTTTTTGACAATTTTTACGTTTTAGGCACTTACTGGCAGCGAGTGCCTCAAGACTGCTTCGGGCAATACTTCGGCACTAGCTGGGCAGTCCCACATGTGTTGTTCCTACACGTCTCCGCTTTGTGACGAGACACCCGCCACGAGCAATAAGCGTACACTTTCGCCAGAGAATGCTGTTGGCCTGGAGGTTGTCGCATATGCCGTTAAGTCTTGAGACATGGCCGGAAAGATGACTGAATGAGCGCATGGCTTCGTAGATCTTCACGGAGTGCGATCTATCGTCGGATGTGTTCACGACATACGAGCTGCACTTTGGGAGTCTGCTCGTTTAGGGGTAGCCTCGAGCTCTTGCATCTGAAAAGAAGTTCCGGCTGCGGTTCTGCCAGTGATAATAATGACGCGTGCAGCGTGCAAGAAGGTGCAAGAACAAGACCCCTGCTAGCACCAGTACTACAGCGTCTAAGCCAGAATCGCCATGATCCTGACTATCATCCCGCTCCTTTGGTTAAGCATCCTCGAAGCACTGTTTTCAGTGAGAACTACTCGTACTTGCAGCAGCATGTTTCACGTGCCAGTCGGACATCTATATCAGTCAGTCACCAGTCTGATCGTCGTCGTCGTGCCCCTACTCAGCTATATCAGCAGCAGTGGCCGCAAGCGGTGGTAGTAGTTGTGGTGGTGGCGGTGGTCGTACTGGTATAGTAGTTTCAGTTGCAGTGGTAGGAGTCTACGTTGTTATGGTGATTTGTGATTGGTGATTGATGGTGGTCTTGGTGGCGGCGGTGGCGGTCGTGGCGGCGAGGTTGGTGGTAGTATGATCATTCTCCTGGTCGTCGGCAGGGCTGTCACCATTATCATCATGGCCATCGTCACTGTCGTAATACCTTGTTTGTCAAACCACTGTTGCTACAACTCCTGTTGAGGATTTCACGGACATGGGGTGCCGTTAGCAGGAGTTTTGCGTTGGGAAGAATAACACGACGCTTGATTTCTTCTTGAATCTGAGGCCGTATTTCGAATCACCGGCTTGTTTGCGCTGAAACTTCATTCTGGTTATCATCATCGGAAGAAGTGAGTGTGTGTGAGACTAGCTGGATGGGTATCCGATGTTTATGGCCAGTGTCGCACTGCAATGTCTTAGGGCTGTACGGGTGCACCCATCAAGACAGGCAAAGTTTTTCAGGAGAAGATCGATGTAAAGGACTACGACTGAGCCCTGCTCTTGTCCTCGGGCGCGGCCGACTTCATAGGTTTAGGGATGTTTAGGGCTTAGCTTCTTTGTGCTCGTTGACGGTCACAGCACGGGTGCAAGGTTGCCCAGCAAGTACCTCGGAGCGAGTCTGCAAGTCAGACCGCCTGTCCGCAACGGGCCGCGTCTGTGAAAACTGTGTCCGGGCTGCATCTGATTGTCATCTCTCCGCTGAACTATGGTTCGCTGCCTTAGGCAGCATCAACCGCAACCAATGACACCTTAATCACATGGATAAAGGTGTTGACATCTCGATCAACAGGGCTGTTGTGCAGGCTTCTCCATGCTCCGGCCCATGCACACAGGCATTTCGGAGAAGGGAATATCATTGACCCATTGCTGCCTCGCCGTCGTCTTGGCTCCACAACGATTGCAGACACACGGAGACACGCACACACACAGACTCTTACCCACACACGCGCACCAACCAACGCACAAAACCAGACGAAGCGATGCCACGTGCAAGCCAGCAAGTTGAATTGGATGCAGTTGCTTCAGCCGTGCACAGTATTCTCCTCGCATATTCCACGCAAGACCCAACTGCGCGTTGAGCACTTTCCGAACAAGTTCATTTCTCAGCCAACCAACATGCGGGAGTAAGTACGGCCTTCAGGCCGAATCAGGTTAGTTTCACACCAACCAACGTGAAAGTATCTGAGCTGAATATTTGTACTCAGGTCACCTATGCAGCACGCAGAACTTTGCACAGAACATTACGAGCACAGCTGACTGGCGATGCGAGAATGAAAGGGTCTCGGGAAATGGAGGACCTTATGTTTTCGTTTGGGTGTTTAAGTGTGCATGTGTGCGTGTTTTTTTCGGTGCGTGTCTGCTCGACTGTCCGTGGCCGCGCATTGTCTACACTGAACAGACGTACTCAATCAGCACTTGCACTGTGAAAGATGTCTCCACAATCCCTTGGAGCTTGTTCTGAGCTTCGGATTTTATCTTATGCTGGCCCAAACCTGATCTGAAGCTCGTTATAGAAATTACCAGGATGATGTCCCTGCCCCCCCCCGATATCCCTACTCAATCCAGGATCGGGTGGCACTGCCCGGCGGCAACGGCCTGCTGGACCTGCGAAAGTGCCGTGGTTGCAAGTGGTCTCCCTGATCACATTGAAGCTGAATCGGGAGACTGTGGCTCTGGGGTAATAAAGTGCTTGCGAAGCCGATTAGATGCAACGCCGGAGCTGCAAGCGAGAAGTCCACGTGGGCGATATGCCATGATTCTTGAACAGCCATGCAGCAACCTGTACATGTTTTCGGAGTCCTATCCTCTGGTCTGAAGGCTGCACTGCCAGCACTTGATGAGATGCACCAGTCGTGATAATGGGATCCAGAAGTCGACCTTCTGTTTGCTGGGTCGCAGGGGCTACATCATCTCGATCTTCTAGTCTACCACTACTACTTGTGCTGCCTCTACTGAAATTATTGCTACCTGCCACTGCTGCTACTACAATCGAACATTGAACTGCTGTTCGCAGCGACCAAGGCAGTCGGAGCATCGGTACATGTCGTTTGGTGAAATCGGTAACGATCAGATACTGCTCGTACGATGCTGGTTTTCCCAGGAGCAGCCTGGAGGAGCTCCAGCTGGCCAGGATTTACACACGCAACAGAACAGAGGCAACTTGGTGCTTCGTCGTTGCTTGCAAGTCAAAGGGACACCGCAAGTGCTTAGAGTTCATGATTCACGAGTGGTGCCCCATCTTGTGCCGGCAGACTGCCAGTCCTTGTAAGAGCTTTCCACATTGACCTTGGGTGAATCCATTTCAGCGGCTGTCCGGGCTTGACACATGCCCGGCCCAATTTATCCCGGTTCTTGTGCACGAGGAAGCCATTGTTGAAATTCTGGTGCACTGGGAATGATGCTGGCGTTTGCAGATGAACAGAACTGACTGTCGGAGGAATCATAACTTCCGGCACCTGCATTAGCAGTCTGTCAGAAATTCAGTGTTCGAACGCATACCAAGCATAACTGTCGGGTTGCTCTGTGGATCCATGCTCTCGTATGTAATGCCTTCAGCCTGTGTTTTTTGAGGCTACAGCTACTATGTGCAACAGATCATTGAAAGCAGAGACAAGGTTGAAGTCTCATCAACAACCGCACAACATCACAGGAACTGAACTCTCAATTGAAACATGCAAGCTGGCCAGGTAGCATTGGCACAAGGCTATCTCAGCGAGGAGGAGTGTGGGCTTTGCCTGGTGCAGGTCACAGCGGTAGTGACATGCATAAAAGAAGGTATCGTTAATGAGGAATAGCATGAGAACCGGGAGTGCACGTGGTATAACTTGTATAAGCATAGTAGGTAGGATAGCAGTTGAAGCAGCACGAGTGGCTGTATGGATCCGACGAACCGTCGGGGACACTACACAAGCAGCAAAGCATAGTGTCATCCTCGATGCAGCTGGGAAGCTGCAACATTCATCAACACGCAAAGCTGGAAAAATCAACCACAAACAGCAGCGGTAAAAACAAGTCGGAATCGTAGGGGCATGTAACATCATCCTCAGCCCCATTATCATCCTTTTCATCATGGTCATGACAAAAGCATGGCATTTGTCCTGAGCGAGCGTTAACTATTGCAGCTGTCAGTCAGGCAGATGCACGACCGGGCAGACACATCTGTGCATCCATGCAGACTTATGCGAACGTAGGTGCTTGTATACGCACAAGTATGCACGCATGTCTTTAAACAGGTGCATGCTTGCCTATGTACGCAAAGGTATGCGGTTCACATGTTCTGTTGTACGCATGCATGAATGTATATGTGTGTTGGCGCTTATCTGTCAACATTGTTTCATGTTCGGTTTAGTATGCAGATGTGAAAATGAATATGCATATGAATTGCGACATGTGTATATGCATATATACAGACATTTGCACATTATGTTTGCCTTTGAGCTTTGTGCATATGGCTTTAACCTCGAGTAGAGGGTTTATGTTTATAGCGACGGCTTCTGGGGCCGGATTCTAGGTTCGTGCGAAGACACCTCCAGGATGATTCTGATGCTGATGAGGTTGACGGCAAGTTGTACACGGCATCCCAACAGCAAATTCATTCGCAGAGAGATCTCTGTTTGCAATGCCTTTGATGGGAATTGCTCTGCTGACAAGCGCTGTGCCAAGGAGAAATACTACCACGACAATGGCAACCCCAAGTGCTCGAACCTTCTGAGCAACGCAGATTTAGTCGCAGTCACGCAGGAAAAGCTGTATGTTAACATATCATGGTCGCAGGTTCTCCCGTTCCTGCTCCAGGTACTTTCGAACTTACCTCCGACTCCCTCCGACGGTCACACAGCAGGGAGCTAAGCTGAATTGTCGAGTTTCAATCTCATACAAGGGTTCGCATGCCAGTAGTCGCACAGTTCGGACAGCAAAGCCTCGCATCTAGTGAATGGTTTAGCAGCGCGCACGCGACCTCCGTGCATAGCCATGTAGACGTCACAGACCAAAGAGCACCCAACACATGAGGCCAAGCAGTTTCAGCTCGTTCGTTGCACAGCTGTCCCGCTACAATTGAATTGCAGCAAGCACGATAAGTCGTTTGAGTCGTGGCAACAACGAGGCTACTTCTGACCATAGCAGCAGTGGTACTAGTCGGTGTGCTATTGCAGTACTCATGCTTCAAACCGTGGTAGTCTCACTCACAGTGAGAATATGGAAACTGGGTCCCAGCACATACCATCCATACATAAAAGTGCAACGAAACCTAAGCTTTAGCACGGTTTCGAAAATGGACCATTCCGTTGCGAATTGCGGAGATCGACTAGACTACGCTCGTCCAAGATATTTGCTAGAATTGTTGTTGTAGTGAGCATCACCATCATCTTCATCGTTATCATCTCCGTCACCATATCCTCGTGCATTCTGCTGTGCAAGTAGGCAAAACACGGCGTGAGAACTTGTGACGGTGCGTATTGTTCCAGACACGTCAATCATCCTTCCGCAGCCTGTCGTGTAAAGTGACAACAGCACTGTAAATACTAGTATGTTGGGCATGGTCGCCGTCAGAAACATCGTCGTTATCCCCACACCCTGCACCCCTACCCCACCCCACCCCCAGAGAATCATCCGAAATGTCCTGACATGCAAGACAAACGAGGAAAGTAACAAGACGCCGCCAATGATACATGCACCGTCACTCTATGGCAGGATCGCACTTTTGCTGTAGTATCACTTCCCCAAACATTGCGGCACACACTGGGTTCTACTGCTCGGAGTAGTTTGTCAGTGTGTGAGCGTGGCGAGCATGGAAGAGAGTTTGGGCGTGTCCTGGCTTGTCTTGCGGTCTCCGGGCGGTGTTTTGCTGTTGGTGGGGGTCTCCTTGTGTTCCTGGCGGTCTCCGGTGGTTTGTTTGTGGTCTCCTGGTGTTGCCGTCTCCTCGTGGCCTCGGTCGTCATGGTCGCCGTCGTGGTGCTCCTTCCCGGTTTGGGGATCTGCACAGGCACAATCCCATAGCAAGTGTCATACCAGTCTACATAAACATTGCTCAATTTGCCGCCTTGCGTTGAGCGGATTCTCCAAGGCGGGCATGCGAGAGGGTGGTTGAAGAGAAGCACTTCGACGTGGACGGTCCTCCTGCCTGGATGCTTGCAATTGCTTTAACTAGGCCGCTGCATGTGCAAGGTAGAAAGGGAGAGGGGGTTCACGCAGCTTGCACAGGGGACAGGTGACGTCTAGAGTGACTGGAGTTGCACTGCGCCCACTGTTAAACACTAGGTATCGGTTTGAAATTAATTTTTCATTTCCCGTGTTGTTTAATACAGAGCCGTGATTAACAATTTGCGGGACTTTTGAAATCGACCCTGGTACAATCATGTCTTACATGTAGTATTTACTCCTGCATGTGCCTTCTCATGGAATAACTGCGGTTTGCACTGGCCTCTACCTGTCATGATTCTAGATGCGTGCAGCATTGGCAATCGAAGCTTCAGATTGTTTTAGAACAATGGCAGGTGTATGCCGTCTCGATGTGCACTTTGCTCTGGGACAGGCGATGCATAAGAACGGCTTGCACTTGTGTTGTGTGGGAGACACAGGGAGCATGCATTCCAGAATTGAACCGCTGTTATCTGGAATATCGTGCCGTGATCTGCTGTCGTTGGTTTAGCTCCATGTCAACCTGCCACCTGCCAGCCTTTCCTGAGCCGCAAGCACTTCTACCCAAATCAGCGGATGAAGTCAGAAAAATTGCTGCTTGGCAGAGCGCTTGTGGTTGAGCCTTGCGATAGCGACCTCTCATGTTTGGGTGGCAAAGCCCATCCTAGGTTCTTTGTGGAGGACGAGCGGACGATGCAAGCCAGAAAGGCTTTGCCCTGCATGGTTTCGAGGTCTCAACACGTACAGTGCCGGCACGGCTGTGATCAAAGTTGCCTGCCGGCTGCTTCTGTGGCAAACCCTGGAACCTTTGACTGCGAAAGTGCGTGAAGTCAGGGGCAAGGAGCTCTTGCAGCCCTGACATGACAGGCTGGGCACTGGAGGGAGTACTACGAAGGAGGACAAGTCAAGTCCGAAATTCAGCGTGGCACCAAGGGACAGCGTGCAAGAATGACGCTGTGCGGCAAGCTGTATTAGTTGAGCAGTCAGTTCGTCTCAGGTACGACGAGCATGGAGTTCGAAACGGGTTCTGCAAAAGGCAAGCTTAGCCGGGCAGAATCTGGCCTATATGCCTTCAAGGTGATTTGCTCATGCACACAGCCTCTGAAGCCCTAGTCCAGACAAGATTGCGTTCTTTGCCCGGTTGTTGCTGGTGTGGGCCGCTTCGATGCATGATCTGTCAACTAGGAATCACCAGTTCAGAGTCTCAAACTCTCTGTAGCAGTGCAGGTCTTTGAGTAGAGACGATCGGGCCCACGTACTCTGCTTCTCGACAGGTACGGGATCGATGGTTCGCAGGAGTGGGTCAAAGACTACACAAAGGACCTGCTGCGCTTTAAGTTCCAAATGTCGCACCGCACACCAGCACTTCGTATTTAAGTTAGGCAAGCTCGCACAGAAAAGCAGAAGATCAAAACATAGACCATGCGACATGACAGACAGATCGCCACACTGCCCCTGGCATGCTTGTTTCGTTGATATGGCTTCGCAGGAGTATGGAGAGCGCATTGCCGTGTTCAACGCGAAGCGAGGGCAGCTTGTCTCGAATTTACTGCGAAACTGCTGGCTCTCTCTATCTGCTGAGTGACTGTGTGTGCAGTCTCATGTGGGCCTCAGACTTTGCGCAGTATCCCCATATAATAGTTGAGCACTTGAGCACGCGCTGCCTGACCGGAAAGTTCAAGATGTTCAAGCTTAAGCCCTAAGTGTCCGCGTCACAGCCCATGATTCAGGAAGCTCTCGCTCAATGCAGAAGAAGCTGCATTCTTGCGCCTTCCTCAGTGGTGAGCATCTACCAGCCCATGAGCTCACTAGTATAAAGCGCAGGTAGACACTTCGGCGGATCACCGGACACGTATGCAGTCGGGTTTGCGCAAACGGACAACCGTTGCTAAGGCTGGGCTTTCCTGAAGGGTACGTTCCGAAGGACCGGAAGGAGGCTCAAAGACGGCTCGTGGCCGGTTGGCTGCACTGATCACTCTGGACGAATCGGAGATTGCCGCAGGTGGACTCCTACTATCGCAAGAAGTGCGCACCGCCCCTTGGGCCCAATGTAGTGCAGTTCGTTTGCATGATTTAACAATGTAGCATGCTTGCAGATGCAATAGGTGAACAACTGCAAAATCAGCTCTTGAATCAGAATCTGTGTATCAAACACAACCGGTGTGCATTGGAAACCAGGACGAAGCAGAAACTGCACATAACTGGCGCGCATCGGTAACTGCGCATCGGGAACCGAAACTGTGTATCGGAAACCGGCGCACATCGTTCACCGATGACAGCATCCAATCCATGTACCGGTGCATCCACAACCGAGAGTATCCATGTCCGAACGACGATAACGTCCTCGCCACATGTCCATCCACGCCCAAGAGCTTTCCGAACATTGAAAAAGCCCATGCCACCAGTGCATCCAGAACTACCAACGGCATCCATGCCCGAACGATAAACACGTCCATTCCACGCGTGCATCCACTCCCAAGAATCCCAACAATCCGTGCCCGAACGACCATATAGTCTCCATGGCAAAGCATCCATGCCCGATGCTACCAGTCAAGCCCGGACCTTCCTCTGCCTGCTCACAGGTTCCCAGAGACCCATAAACGAAACGGAAACCCTCAGCTTTACAACTCGTAAGCCTCAGGCATAACGCTTCAAATCTGTGAATGAGAGTGAGACCAGCATTTTCCCTTGAGTCCGTCTGCTTTCCGAGGCACGCGTCTGTTTCCCAATCAACCGCTCTGGTTTCCAAATCACCCCGACCGGCTTCCGATTCAGCCGTTCTGGTTCGGTCGACAGGGTTCCATAGTAGGCAGCCGTTCGTGCTGAAAGCTGCAGCGAAGAGACTGCAGAAAGTTAATAGGACGGGAGGCTTGTATCCTCTATAGTAGCTCTTTTTGTAGTCCTTGTAGAGCCCTTATAGTACCCGAATGGTTGAGGCCCCTATGCTTGAACTGAGCTTCTGGAGAAGACCGAGCCGTAGAAGATCTAATCGCCTCTCTGGACAGGCTGCACCCGGACAAGTCTCCTGATCCGGATGCGCCTGCCCGACTCGTTTCAGAAGAAAAGTGATGTGAGACGGAACGTTCAACATTGGACTAGAGAGTTACAGCCGAAAGTCATGGGATCCTCAAGATCAGTAGGGATCCCTGGGGAACGTTGATGGAAGCTTGGGGAGCACTGGAGACTCTCAGGGACGATTGGGTGAGATACCTTCCTTGATGTTTTTTTATGGCTCTGTGGTTCTGTGCCTCCCCTAATGCCCAAAGCAGGCACGAGCGATTCTTGGAGGTGAGCCGGGCCCGAGAGGTGCACTGGGGGGGTCCCTTTTCCCATCGCTTCCTTGTCTGACTTCGAAGTTGGGGAGGTCCTGATCAAGTGGCTGGAACCTGCGAGCTCCTGAGGTTTCGGTTGTCAGTGTCATGCAGTGGCCCGGCTCTTTTCTGGCCCCATCCCCTCTTCTTCCAACTGATAAGGAGAGGCCTGGGCCTTGAGCTCTGAGAGACGTCTTGGGAGAGTCCCTGGGCGTCCGTGTGCGTTCCTACGCCGCTTGAAGGTCAGTGAATTGCGGGCCAATGACAGCCTCCCAGTTTTTCAAAGCACAGTAGAAACAGCTATACTTTCAATAAAATTTGACGCCGTGCTGGGCCTGCAGAGATCAGCATCAGCAGTGCGCTGTGTCGGGCGAACAGAGATGCCTTGACGTGTGAGCTCCAGCCATGCACATCCTTGTAGAAAGCAGGCCGAGCTTCTGAGTCGTTCCATTCCTTGCGGTTCTGCTCGTGACAGAGTGAATGCTGTCTGAAGGCCTTTACCGACAGAGTGTCTGAAGCCCTGCATGTCAAGGTATGTCACAGTACAGCGTAGCCAAGACTCTTCGGAGCTGCTTTTTGCTGCAACGCACGTGCCCCAAAGAAGGGTTAAGTGGTCTCGCCTGATCAGTTGTGAGGGAGACATGTGAAAAAGACTCGTCGTCATCCGGCGGTAATACCTTTTGATGATCTTCATTGGCACTGCTAGGTGATGCCACATTTCCATGAGTAGAATGACTCATCGAGCCAGAATCTTGACTGGCAAGTCGGCGCAGCCTCGCAGAACTACGAGAACGATGTAATGGGTACGGCAATCTCGGCTCCTAGCAGGATGAGTTGCTTGTGAAGCCTTCCACGATGGTGCTGCCCTTGCTGCAGCGCTGCCAGATACTATGGCATCCTGGCTTCTGGATCTTAGCGAAATAGCACGTCAACAGGGCTGCTGCTCAATACTACGGGTGCGCGATGCGCCGTCTCAATATTGCATGTTTTTTTGACCGACTACGCTTTGACTTAGCAAATCACAAAGAGAGACTCGCATGCACCAGTCATGGCCAGACCAGACATACTGAACCTCGCTCGACTTTGTTAGGTTTCTGCTGGCTTCTCAACTTCTTTGCGTCTGTGGTTCTTTCATTGGCGCTGACCAGGACTGCTTCATTCCCGCTTGTGCACATGCATCACCTCCCTATGAGACTTCCCTGAGTGCGGGATGCGAGATGAATCAAGGGTTGGAGGACGAAGGGCCCCTAGGCCCTAAGACCCTAAACCCCCTAAACCCTAAGCCGCCAGGAAGGGCGCAGCCGTCTGGTTCGATCCGTCGCGGTGCAGCCAGATGCCGACTTCGAGCTGCCTTTGCAACTCTGTGTCCCGACTTCAGGGTACGACCGGGTTGGGCGACTGAACAGCACAAGGAACAGTAATGCAGATATGTGTGCGTGTCAATGGCAAAAAAGATCAGATCCTCGAGGAAAAGGACCTCGCAGGGGTGGTAGGGAAGTGCGAAACCGCCCCCCGCCCTGAGCCCCAGGCAATGGCACGTCCGTGGAGGACCCGGAGAAAGATGCGTTGGCACTCTTGCGGGAATTGGACTTGCACTGCCTTCAGGAGTGTGATCCGGGTATGCCGGAGAAACTGTGCAACGCGAGGTCCCACGGTCGCAGATGTGGTTGAAGTGCCAGCATCACACAGTTCTCCAGCAGAGACGGAAATGGAACGGGCGAAACTGAAAAAGTTGCGGCGGAGGATCAGATCTCCGGGAAGGCTGTGATAGCACCGCTACATGTAAGATCTGCAGAAATTTGCAGTTAAGTCGAGTCTTGAACTGCCAAGTATTGTTGACTGCACGCATGGGCTTTCAGTCCCAGCTGCGGTGACAGTTTGACACCAGCGCGAGCCACAAGCAAAGAAGTTTATCAGGCAATGGTAGCAGCAGCAACATCAGCATAAGAGTGCTCGTGGCACCAGCAGTAGTGAGTGATCACGGAAAACGGGCCGGGCATCGTGTCACTCTGTCGGAGCCTTGTCTCGCTGAATTTTGAAAGTTTAAAACCGCCTTATGCACGCGTGGACGCAGATGCATGAGCACATGGGTATTCATAGCCATATCTTCTTGTTCATATACATGTGCACATACATATATACACATATGTATATATACATATACAGAAACTGTATATATATATATATATATATATATATGTGTGTGTGTGTGCACGTGTGTGCGTACACGTATACAAACACCTAGTTTTCGATAGACAAATCAGCAAGCACATACGTGTTTATCTATCTATATCTATGCAGTTTGTAATAAGCTAGTGTGCATCTTGTGTGTGTGTGTGAATACTTATGCAGTTACTCATAGAACCAGTTCGTGGCGGAATCTGTCGGTTCCTGTCATGGGTCCGCTTGCAAACTATGACTCAGTTTGGGGATGCTGTAAGCCAGATGAGTTTTGTTGATGTCAGAAGTTCGTAGCAGTGGGCACGTAATCGCTTCATGTATGATAATAGGGAAGGCAAACGGCTTTGTTCTTGCCTTGAGATTTCACGCCTGAAGGTGCGCTAGAACTTCCTGGTTCTTGCCGTCATACTTGGGAATGCACGATGTACAAATGAGCTCAGGTACGTGTGCGACGCGAAGTCCTGCTCCATGTGCCGTCGTATGGAGAATCGGTGCGCGAAGGCCAGCAGCATCGCATCACAAAAGCAGTCTGTGGCTTGTGCTGATCAAAGCCGCTAGCTGCTCAGGATGCCAGATGCAGAGCTTGAGCAAATCGATGAGACGACTTACAGGATGCCTGCATACAAATGAAAAAACAGCTGGACATATTCAAACATTATCAATATCTACCATCATTATCTGCCAATATCTTCTACTTCAAATTCATGGCAAGACTACATATAAATTTTCAAGCTTTAGACTTACATATATATATATATATTCTTATAGATCTTCTTCCTGAAAAAACACCCAATATGCTGTAAATGGTTGGGGAGTGTCGCGCGATGGTTTTCGACCAGGGGAGCTGGCCGGAAATCGGTTTGGGGTGCGTCGCCGGGAATATCGCGGGGCACTGGGAGGTCGCTGGAGCTTGCGGGAAAGCGGGTTTGGGGTGGGTAGGGGAGTGTCGCGGGGCAGAGCGAGGCCACAGGAGCTTGCAGGAAAGCGGTTTGGGGAGGGCCATGGGAGTTTGTGGAAAGCGGCTTTGGGTTCGTCGTGGGGAAGTGTCGTCGACTACGCAGCTTATGGCAAAGCGGTCGGGGAATGTCGTGGGACGGTGGGAGGCTATAGAAGCTTGCGGGAAGGGCGCTTTGAGGTGCGTCGCGGGGAGCGTCGTGGGACGGTGCGTGGCCACGGGTCAGCGGTTTGAGGGGGCGGTTTTGTGCAAAGTCGCTGGAATTAGTAGGAAAGCGGTTTGGGGAACATCGCTGCCACGGGAGCTTACAGGAAAATGGTTTGGGATGAAGAGATTGGCGCGAGATTGTGGGCGGTCGTAGGGAATTTACGGAAAAGTGGCTTGGGGAGTGTCGTAGGATTACATAAGGGAGCTTACGGGACTATCGTTTGGGGTTGCATCGTAGGACGGAATACGAGCGTTGGAATGAGGTCGGCGGAGCCTGTCGGAAAGCGGCTCGGGGCTTGTCGCGGGGATTATCGCGGGATGGTGTTAGGTTACCAGACGGCACGGGAGCTTGCGGGAAAGTGGTTTGGGGAGTTTTATGGGACGGTATTCGGTCGTAGGAATTTTCGGGAAAATGATATCTGTCATATCGTATTGGAGGGAGTGTTGCGGCGAGATGCGAGGCTAGAAGAGAGATGAGGGTGCCGGAATTGCTGGATGCATATTCTGGGAGAGAGTGGTTGCCGTGCAATGGAATGAGATTCTGGGGCGTTTTTGCGGGAAAGTAGTCTGGAGAGGGTCACGGGATAGAGAGGAAGGTTATCGGAGGCAAATTTATTTGCGGAGGATGATTGGTAGGAAAATTGCTTCGGAAATATTATAAAAAAATATCGTGGGATGGATCTAGGTTATCACAGTTCTCAATTTGGGATTTAGGATAAACCGGAGGTAGTGTCGTGGGACGGAGGTTGCGGTAAGGAAGGTCGCGGAATAATGTGAAGGAAAATTAATAAGGAGTGACGTTCGACGATGGGAGATCGCCAGAATTTGAAGGAAATGATGCGAGGTTGTAAGGTTTGATGGGTCGGAGATTTGGTAAATATCATGAGGTATAAATTGATATGAGGCTTTTGGAATTTGCGAGAAATCATTTATCTTATTATCTAATTTCGTATCGTGGAGCTTGCTAGAATTTATAAGAAAATCTTATAGGAAGCCTCGCGAGATTTCAAGATTATGGGGGGGATTAAAATCTGGGAGTCGTTGGAACTTGCGAAGAGCCCTTCGGGTGGGTCGCGGATGGGAGGAGGTCATTGGAATCTATGCGAATCGTTTGGGATATATCGAAGAAATACTTTGAGATTATAAGAGATGACGAGAAGTCGATTTGAGATTTTTTATGGAGCGAGTTCTCTGGAGCCCAAGAAATTAGTATTTGGGGTGGGTTATAGCACGGAGCTTACGAGAAAGAATTTATGAGAGCGTCGCGCGATGCTACGAGAGCTCGCGAGATTGTGGTATAGGCCACGATATAAGGAATATCGTACGATATTGAAAGATTGTTATTTTTTTCGGTCAAGTCGTCTCGATTTCGTTAAGGATATATTATGGCAAGATTTGAAGAAGTAAGTTTATGAAATATTATGAAGGAATATTGCGGCGTAATTCGAGGCGATTAGAATTTTCAAGATATCTATTTAATCGTGGGGTATTCAGAAAAATAATTTAGGATCGAAGATTGATAACGTATAATTCAGATATAATATATAACATATATAATATATATATATATATCTATATATCACGCATATATGAATCATATCATATATATACTCCACGCGCACTATATACGTATTAGAAAATTGATCTATTTATTCATATCAATCATAGATATATCTAAGATTCTCCGATCTATTCATATAGAATCATAACGAGAATCCGAAAATTTAAATAAAGAGAATATTTTCGATATCGCCCTCCCACCCCTTATTCCCGCGCCCGGTCCCCTTATCCACGCCTCCCCCACGGACCCGGTATCGCGCTGCTCTTATCCAGACCCTCCCGCCGCACCTCGTAGATATTCCCAATATCATGCACCCGCCCCTTATCCCCGCCTTCGCCTACGCACCGTGAATATATTCGATATATTCTCTTCTTATTTATGTCCTTCCCCGCGCCATCCCCCCTACACGCTATCATATATAAAATCAAGTCGAGAATTCTAAAATCCAGAGAATATTCTCGATATCACACTCCCACCCCTTGTCCCCCGCGCTACCGCTCCTCATCCACGCCTTCCTCGAAAACCCGCCATCGCGCTCGCCTTCCCAGCGCGCAGTGAATATATTCAATATATTGCGCTCCCATCTACGCCCTTCCCCGTACGCTATCGCATTCCCGCCCACACCCTCCCACCCCTTTTCTCCCAAATCGGACTCCTATCCCTTATCCATGCTCTCCCGCGCATTGGATGTCGCGCTCCCGCCCCGTTTCCAAACCCTTCCCCCGATATAGCGCTACCGCTCCCTCCGCGCTCCCGATATCCCGCGCCCACCCTTGTCCCCCTCCTCACCCACATACTTAAAATCGCGCAACCGATCCTTATCACCGCTCTTTCCCACCCACGTCCGCGCACCCGATATCGCGCTCCCGCTCCTTGACAACGATATCGCGCTCCCGCTCCTTGTCCACGCCCTCACCTACGCGTCCGATATCATCCTCCCGTTTCGTATACCCTTTATACCATACCCCTTGCCCTCCTCTCTCCCAATACTATATTCGTAAATCCGATATCAAGACCCATCCCCCATTCAACCTTCTTGTAAAAATCTTCCATTACAATACTAAATAATAACCTATTCCCAGAAAATTTATAGAAAAAAAATCAATAAATATATATATATATATATATATATATATATTAATCGAAATATATATATATATATATCGATTTAAATTCATATTAAAGAAGTTCTTATATATATATAATGAATGTTTTTATTCATTTTTCATATATTCTCTATAGCGAATAACTAATTTTTTTCAATATTACCTATATAAGCACACGTAATTCAATATTACTATTCCTGAAATTAGCCTTAGTATAATAATAATTATACCTCTTATAGAAGAGAGAAATATTACACCGACAGAATTTTATATTTTTCGATTACAAATATATATGATCCCAATTCTCGGTTCATCGAACCCCCCAATAGTATCCCCCCGCTCCCCAAACCGAATCTATGCTGGATTATGCAGGCTTTTTTCCATATGAGGGGACCGAAGCCACCCCACCAGGGGGAGTAGAGTAACCAGCCTAAGCAGACCCACTCCCGAACCACGCCTCACCGCAGGGAGGGGGAAGCAACCCACCCACAACCACACCACAAGGGGGTGAGGAGGAACCTTGGGGGGGGGGCTGGCCGAACCGAGATCATATATATATATATATATATATATATTTCTTTTCTTTATTTATTTATTTCTGATTTGAAGCTAAACCAAAACGATAATCCCCGTCAACCTCCAATGATCCCGTGAGGTCCAGTCATTGAGCCCGGCTGCCAAAAGCAGCGGCTCGGTTCTTTTCATAAAGCCGAAATTATTCGCGAAACTAAAATCAGTATTATCTTCGTAGAGAGCTTAAACTATCCCCTGAAAATCCCTGCCTTCCATCGTCTACTACTACCTGATTCTCTGAAAAACGATTCGTAAAAACGCCTCGGCATTGACTTATCTTATTTTGGATGCGGCGGTGCTTACGGACCCGCTTTGCGGAATATGTGCCGTGAAACACCCCGGCCTGCTGGTGTTGAATGCAAAGGAGGATTACATAATAATGAATCTGTCTTTTTGCACTCGCAGCTGGCCTTCAGCACCTCTCGATTCTCGATGGCTGAACTGTACATGGAACATGCAATGATCATCTGCTTCCCTCTTCCAAGGGCCGAGATGAAAGCAATTACACGTACCTCTGCCGCTGGGCGCTGTGTCAAACTGCCAAATCGGGCTGCCCATCCTGATGCTTCGTCTACTGATCCTCTGTTCTCGTGACTCACGCGCCATTTGCTGCAAACGCTTGCGAACAAACATTTATGCCGGGAGTAGAGCAATACAGATCTTCACCCCTACTTGATCATTCTGACTGTTGTTGCTCTTCTTGTCACACTCTCGTCACGCAAGTGCAACGGCACTGAATGTCAAACAACAACAACAACAACTACAACTACAACTACTACAACTACTACAACTACTACAACAACAACTACTACTACTACTACTACTACTACTACTACTACTACTACTGCTACTGCTACTGCTACTGCTACTGCTACTGCTACTGCTACTGCTACTGCTACTGCTGCTACTACTGCTACTACTAACACCACCAATCTCTGCCACCGATTGTTAAATTTCCCTCGCAAATTATAGTAAAACTGTATTTCCCGCGAAATGCTCTTTAGTGCTAGGATGCATAGCATCTTCACGACTGTCGTAAACTAACTAAGCATGTCTTGTGTGTAGCCTTTGTGGGTCTCGGTGCATAGGACTTGCTTCGTGCAGACTGAAACAATCGACGATGATGAGCGGATAAATTGATTATTCAAACAAGCTGTACGAATGCATAAACTCCGTCATGGGTTCCGGAAGCAGCTGCTAGGCAATGTGCTGATTACCAACTGTTGCTCAGCATCGCCAGCCAGGCTGCAACCCAACGCCCCAAGCCCTAAACCTTCTACCCTTGAAGGACCCCTAGGGTCTGCCTAATATCCCCTAATCAAGATCTCCTCTTGGCCCCTCCTCTTGGGGCACATTCCGGCAAAGATTGTGCTCTCCGGAGAAGGCTTTCATTATGTTAGGGTGGTCCTTACTCATGGGAGGCGGAGCAGAGACTACTAGTACTTGTACTGGCTACTAGTAGTAGTACTACCCCCAACTACTCCTGCTCCTATTCCTACTCCTACTTCCTACTCCTACTACTACTACTACGACGATGACGACCACCATTACCACCACTTTTGCTCCTCCTCCTGCTGTTGTGACTAGTGCTCATATCCTTTCCCGACTGGCCGGAAGCATGGCTGTTGCTATCATGGTCACGCTATGGTGATGGTCAGGGTATTGGTACTTCGATGATGACCTGGTGACCCTGCCTTCCTCCTGACCTCTGAGGCACCGGCAGTGGCCAGGCTGACGCCTCCGTCGAACTTCAAAGCTGCAGTTACTTCAGCACATCTTGTTTTGGAAAAGCGGTAGAGTGAACTGGTAGGCGGCGGTTACACTGGTCTGATGTAATGATTCCCGTCAAGGCCCACGACATCAACAATGAAAGCAATCCATCCACCACCGCACGGCCGAAGGACGCCAAAGGAAACGCACTCACCCATTGCTTTGAATAGCTTGGTATCATGCCTGCAACTAGTATGGGTTCCCGCACTGTACAATTGTCGATTGAACCTTTGCTGAGCTTGCTGCCGGATGCCATATCCCTTCAGGATATCCTGGTGGGGCTCATGCAAAGTAACAAGCCTCGCAACTGTGGTACCTCTAGGACTTTGAGGGCCGGATATTCCGTGGTCCAAGGCTTCTAGCAGATTTTAGCATATTGCGGCACCAACTTGCTTCTTGCCATGCAGATTTCTTGGCCATCTTTCCGCCATGGTTAATCGGTTAATCAAAATCTCCAACCATCGTTTCAATGGGGCAGTCCTCCGGAGTCCAAGCGGGTGCATCCTCACAGAATAGGATTGAGCGATCATATCACCACACCGGTGACCGGCTATCGGTCACAGGCTTGCACAAAGCATCAGAGGTGCCCAGATCAGCCCGCTGAGCTCGCGGCCTCGAATGAGAAACTTGGATGATACTTCACATAGTGCTGCTTCCCAGGCCACCACAAGGCCTTGACCTGCATGGACTTGCTGACTCATGTAGTTTCATGCAGATCTCCGCAAGCTACTGCCCAACCAGTGGATGGCACCTTCTCTGGCTTGAAAGATATCTTGGGCACCTGGCAGTTCGTTTGTCTAGTGGCAAAACTCTGCTGGTCAGCTACGTGTTCTCATGTCGAGGATGGCCGAGGTTGAGACAGTTCCATCCGTAGTCGGCTTCACCCGTGCGGTGACGAGGTCTTTCTCGACCAACTGAGACGTGGTAGGTGAGGAGCTAGTATGCACATGCAAAGCGTGGCTGCACGGTCTTTGGCACTCTAGGCACCAGGCCGGGAAATGGGCTGCCGCTTTGAACTCGTCCGGGACCAGCGCGGACTGGGCAGTTGCAAACACTAGTTGTGATGGATCATCCTCTGGCAGATCCCGTGCACGCGATGACAAGATTCGGCTGGACTTCTCATAATCTCCGCTTCCTTCAACATGTTCTCACTACAAGGCTTGAGCCATGATGTGGGAACTAATGGCTACCCCTGAAGATGAAATCAGATCTCGCACTGGAGAAGACGACCAAAAAGGCCGTTGTGAAGTTTGGAACAAGACTATAGGCATGCGTTACTATGGTGTCATGTAAACACAAAAGCATCCCGACGCAAAGCCTCTGAGGCGGACTTTCTCATCTCCCTGGCATCGCAGGCAGCTCTGCCACGAAATGCCGGAGCCGATGTGCATGCGTTTGGCATGTCGCTCTGTTGCCAGAAGCTTGTTGCAGTCGGAAGTCTTTAGCACAGCATTCGGCAGCGCAAGATAAGTTGATGCAGTTTCGACAACACGCCGGGGTGACGAAGCAGCGTGCTGAGAGCCGCTGCCGATGCTAGAGCTTCCTGGCAGAAAGGCTTACTGTTTAGATGAGTTCAACTGATAGGGCTTTACCGAATTTGCCGGTCCAGTGAATGGAGAGGCAGGCATGCTTCGTCTTCCACGCTGGCACCATGAGCATAACAACACACACTTGCAGATTGCTTCGCCAGTCTCAAAGCCAAGCACAAGAATCCTGAACCCCAAAACAGGTTCACCTGCAAAAGATAGCCGGCTCGATGCTTCTGAGCATCTGCTGGAGCCTGACCTCCAATCTCAACTAGTTGGTGCATTCAGAGCCCATACAATTGATGATCAGTAGCTGCTGGGCATAGGTTTCGCTACTCATCATGGCCATTAAGGGTTGCAGCTTTGGGGTTTCAGCTTCACCCTGCTTGCTATGCCTCAGGTTGGGAATCCGGTATCTCACCGCAGGGTTTTTGCATTCGCCACCAATCTCTCCAATTGGGGTTTGTTTTGAGGTTGCGGGAATTAGGGCACAGGGTTGGCCACCAGTCAGCCTGTGAGGGCTTGGGTTTGCCCATCCTACTTAGTGCTTGTGGTTTGCTGCCCCTCATCCCTCGGGCTGTTTGACTTTTGGGTCGGCGGCTTACGAGGTGTATCATCTCCTTGTGAGGTTGTGAGTTTAGGTTCCAGAATCTCCTGCAGCGGTTGGAGGGTTGTGTGCTATTCAGGTTTTAGGGCTTGCCGCCCATCACCCGCTTGGACCTTGCTTTCGGATCTGCGGCTTTGGGAACCAAACAGCCGGGTTGGTTCGAGTTTGGTGGTTTCTGGTTTGCATCTTCTGTCGGGGTTTGCACCAATTACCGCTTCTGGGGTTCAGTTTAGTGACTAGTTTAGTGTTTGCAATTGTGCTTCAGAGCCACTTCCCCCAATTAGAGTGTTAAGGGTTGGGGGTTGCCACCAAAACCCGGGGTCTCAGTTACCCCATTTTGGGACTTAAGGGTCTGGCGCCCATCATTCCATCAAAGGTCCCAATTTGGGGGTTCAAAACTTCTGCTTATTTTTAAGGGGCTGCATTTGGGGTGTCGGATTTGCCACCCATCATGGTTTTGGATTAGCCATTGAACAATTCTTTTCGGCATTGTGGTTTGTGAACCTGCCACCCAGCTTTGCGATGCTCGAGAGCCAGTTATCTGCTGGGGTTTTGACATCATCTTCTTCGGAGTGACCCAGTATCCCTTTCTAGGGTTTGGCGCAGGGCACCGGTCATGTGGATCAAGTAAAGACTTTTCGTTTAAGTCCCACATCGCCCACTAGGGTTTGTGGCAACCGGCCAGCCCGTGTAGGAGTTCACGTTCTGCGAACCGTACACTCCTTTCATGCGTTGGGGCCTGCCGTCATCTCCTACGAGAAGACGGGGCTCTCCACGCTACTCACTCATCGTAGGGTTTCAAACGGTTTCAAGCCTCATGCATTGCTGGTTCAGGGTGTTTGGGAACCAGTCACCCGAATCTTGGGTCGCAGGTGTTGCTAGCAACCCGCAAACCATCCAGCCATCTCACATGCCGCCTGGGGTCGCAAAAGCACATGTGTTTTTCTGTCTTGCACGGCGCCTCCCCCCCTCGTCCCCGCCCGAGCATACGCCGGCCCACCTACCCAATTCCCTCAAGCCCTAGAGCTCAAGCTCTTCTAGTCCGTATCATTTCTCTATTGCTGGATGTACTGTCACAGTTTAAGCAAGTAACATTCTAGTAGGCCGGACCTTTATTGGACCGAAATGCAGGTTCATTTCTGTTCTGTCTCGAGTCGGGCCCCTACTAGTAATTTCAGAGACTCACGAAGATGATCGGCCCCTGTGTCGATTTGTATGCGGCCTTTCAAAACATAATTAACACGTCAACAGATCAGGTGCCTGTACTAGCAACAGTATACCCTTGTGTTCCCTTCTTCTGCTGACACGTCGGACTCTTCGCTAGCACAGGTTCATTTCGGCTGGCGATAGCATCGGTCAACTGGAACTAGTTAGATACAGTAAACATCATTGCATATTGCTAGTTTTCAACAAACATCAACAAACCACAACCCCGTTGGCCAAATGGGCCACGGCCTGTGCCGATGACGTCGGCGAGCTCGCCTCCCGTCCTGCTGGCAAGTCTCACCGTTGCCAATGAACGAATTCGTCACAAACGTAACGGGATTCAACAGTTGACATGCGTAACGTCTCCTCATCGGCCGCTCGCTCCATCTTTGCCTGCATAACATGCCAGACTGACAACGTTGTTGCGACATGCCGCGGGCTTCGACTGTGCAGTGCTGGGCCGCTAAAACCACAGGCCACGAGCAACAATGACTTGCAAGTTTGAGAGCTACAAGTCGTCACGAAAGCAGATGACACACGCGGCGCTCATACCTGCAACCTGCAAGGTTAGCGGCCTTCATCTGCGCTCCGTTGATGAAGCTCCGCTCCTGGAGGCAGTCTCACAAAACGAGTCTGAAAGTAACAGACTCCTTGCCATTGCACAGGCTACTAGCAGCTAGCAGTAGCTGGCATAGCCGATGACTTATCACTCGCTGTCGCTCCGAGCTCGGAACGCAATCGATGCTGCACGCAACAAGCTCTAGTAAATACTTCGGAAATCTGCGAATTCACACCCGGAAGTAGATATCGAATTCATGAGTGGATGCCATGTGCAGGCGGCTCAGGGTAGTGATAGCGCCGGGCTTTCACGACTTTTACTCAGACATTTTCTGGTCACTGCCTGCCAAAGCACCGTCAGCTCATCTTTCATTCTTGTAGTATGTTATCTGAACAGGAATCGGGCACAAAAGTGTATACTTCGCGCATACCAGAGTGCTAGTTGCTACATGATCCAATCCCAAAGCAATGTCAAGTCCTCACTGCAGTTACTGACGATTGCACGCTCCCACCGTTGAGGCCGACCTCTTTCTCGATTCGCTGGGCCCATTGGATGTTGAAGCCTCTGGAAGGCTTGACGGCGTGTTTCATGCAGCTCTGCGAAGCATTGCCCAGCTGCACATGCAAAGAACATGCACCGGACAGCGAAAATGAAACTGCCTGCCACCCCTTTAGATCATCCAACTTTGCAACTCCGAAACCTTGACATTATCAGCAGCATGATTCGGAATATCCCTCGTGTGACTACTGTATGTTACTGTATGGCATGGCACTCACAACTTGGCAAGACAACGGACGAGGAGAATCGCAAGCTGTTCTTCGGAACACATCCGGGCCCACCGCCCATGTCCCACGCCATGGTAGCAAAGCGCGGAACGGGCTACTCGGCAGTTCAGTATCAATGCCCTTCTTTTTCCGTTTCTACCAGAGCCACATGCCGCCTTCAGCTGAAAATCGCCTCTGCCAATCAACAACGTGAGGTGTAGTCCATGCGTATGATTCGCTGGCTCGTCCACCTGCAGGCTCCCATTTTGGGCTCGAAGCAAAACCGATCGTGCCACGCACCTCGCCTCTCAGAGGTCAGTTCGAAAGCCTGACGCGACCGTCTGCCTGCATACGGAGGTAGCCAAGGTCAGCGCAGATCGGAATAGAGAAGCATGCGCGAAAGGAGCAAACTGTGAACAAACATTCCTGTGAGGTTTGTGGGCAGGGACAGCACAAACATCCTCACCGACTCACAACTAGATTCCCGTGCCTTTGTTGCCAGACCAACAGCCTGCCGAGTCACTGCAGACACACCGACGCCATCTTCTCTGCAATAAATTTTGTGACATCCCCTCAAAGCTTGCAGACACTTCCAATGATGCACCACATGCAGAGAAAGGGAGACTCCATTTAGCACCAAGACAGTCCTTCTGAAGATCATGGAACAGAAGATCAACATTGCCTCTTCTCTCCGGCAACCGCAAAGACGGCGTAATTCATGGGATCCTCGCATGACATGCTGCGTTTTGAGTTATGCTGACGGATGCTGTGGGTCGCTATTGCTCGGGAGTTTGTGTGCGTTGCAATGGTCCACGGATACACCACTGCATCAAGACCTCATGCACACATGTCGCAACTGCAATGCGCAGGTCCAAAGCAAGACGGACTCGACTAGCAAGCTGCAAGTTGCCCACACCTGGCAAGAATCCGGCAAAACGATTGGCTTTGTTCATCCTCTCAGTGAATCATGCAAGCGCAGGTTTTGCAAGCATCTTCCCCTTATTCAAAAGGTTTGCTGTTCATACCATTGACTACAAGTTCAGACCGGCCAGGGGGTGTCCGTGTTCAAGGGTTTGTAGTGGAGAAGAAAAAATGAAGGCTTTGGGCTAGACGTGCTCGGGGGGACCCGGTTTGCTTTGCACGAACTTTGCGAAGCACTTGACAGCATACCGGCTGTTCAATAGAGACTTCGCCGGAACATACTTAGGATTGCGTGCCCAGTTGGCACGTTGGCATGTCGCCCTTGGCCACCTTCGGTGAAACCTCGAAAGGGTTAATCAAACAATCCTGCAATGTGTTTAAGGGAAATGTCGTACGAGACCTAGCGCATCCTAGTGCAACTTTGGCTTTGCTGAAGACTATGCCGTCATGCTGTCGAGACTGTTGAGACAGGAAAGGTTGAAGCTCGAAGATCGATCGGGCTCCCACCACCTGCCTAAGTAGGCGGCCTCGATCTGCTGCGAACATCTCAGCCTCGTCGGGGTCGACAGGCACGTGTACATCGGAAGGCCCTGCTGTGATCGATACTGCATGATACTGAACCTATGCGCTCAGTCATATTCGGCTGCCGACCATGCCAATGATTACATCGGCTGAGACGGCTACTTGAGCAGCTGAAACCCTGAAACGGAAATGCAATGCGAGGATGGGCTTGTAGTTCCCAGGCCTTGGCGTGCA